TTAAAGAGGCACTTGGCCACCTGCTTAAGATGGGGTGGCTGAGCATCTGGTGCAGGAATGTCAAATGACCTTGCGGATCTTGCAAACCAGGCATGCTTGTGCTTCAACTTCCCTGCAGCCTAACCATGCAAGCCTTTAAAGGTTAAATCTCTCCATAACTGTAAGGAGTAGAAACTTGATTTAAAAACCAAATCTGTGCCTTCAGTGGATTCACATCTAGAGAACAGCATATCCTTTCCAAATTGCACCACTTCTGATTTGCAAGAAGGGGGTCGGCGTTTTATGTTTGGTAGCATCCTTGCACCATAATTTTTTTTCGCACATGTGTTGCTTGCTCATCAAGGGTTATGTGAAAAACACTCACCTCTGTGTGTGTGTGTGTGTGTGTGTGTGTGTGTACACCTTATTTTATGTTTCAGTTGCTTGAAATGGTGAGTCATAGAAATAAAGCTGATTAACTAGTGTTGGACAGCTTAGCATTGACTCCTTTTTCCATCTCCCTTGCTTTATGCCAGTCATGTGGCCATGCGAGGTATTAATAGAATGCCAAATGTAGGAGAGCCATCTGTCAGTGTTCAGGATTGGCCGGAAAGATAAACAGAAGAGTAGATCAGTCATCCTGGTCCACTTTGCTGCCTGGAGCTGATAGTCACACGGTGATGACAGTGTTGAGTTAAATGGACAAGTGCTTGGGAAAAAATTCCCTCTCTCACGTTTTCTCTTCCTCCTCCTTGTTTCATGTGCTCCTAATTTATGTAAAAGTGCTGATAACTCTAAATTAAGTCTTGTCATAGATTCCAGCAGGGCAAAACAGTTCAACCCATGACTTGGCAAATTTTCTTTGTTTTGCATGTTTATTAATATAGGGTAGGAAACCATTTTCTTGGTGTGGTCTGAGCTGCTTTCCTTGAAGGAGGTGGGAGTGTCCATTCTAGTGTGGGTGTGGCCAGTACTAAAAGGGGGCCGGACAACCAGCAGAAGTAGGCAAATTTATGGGATCCAACTCTTAGATTTGTTCAGAGGTTGGAAAGCTGATTTTAAATTTGTAAAGATGGGTTGTAAAATCAAATGTTGTTGGGGTGCTTCTGAGCAGTGGGTCTTGAAAACATATTTAGAATGCATGTAATAGTTACATTTAATCCTCTGGGACCACAATTAGAAACTAGACATATAGGTGATACTTGTTCTGGTTTTTTTTTGCCCGCAATATTTTTTTTAAGAAGCATATGAGTTCACATGCATGCACAAGAGTAGGTTATCTTGCTGATAACCTTTCAGGTTAGCTCTCTGTTCTCCTTCACTCTGGAGTCTAGATTTCTTGCTGTGTCAGGAAAAGCTTCTTAGATAGCCCCAGTTTATTTTACTCTGTTGCCAGTTTTGATGACTTGGCTTAGTAATTAAGCTGGGAAAAAGAGGCAGAGAGGTGGCTATCACTAAAGCTCTTGCATCTGTCTTTCCTTTCTGACTCTTCTGTCTTTTCCTCTTTGTTGTTGTTTAGTCCTTAAGTCATTTCCGACTCTTCGTGACCCCATCGGCCAGAGCACGCCAGGCCCTCCTGTCTTCCACTGCCTCCCGGAGTGGCGTTTGGTCAAATTCCTGTTGGTAGCTTCGATGACACTGTCCTACCATCTTGCCCTCTGTCGTCCCCTTATCCTCTTGCCTTCACATTTTCCCAACATCAGGGTCTTTTCCAGGGAGTCTTCTCTTCTCATGAGATGGCCAAAGTACTGGAGCCTCAGCTTCAAGATCTGTCCTTCCAGTGAGCACTCAGTGTTGATTTCCTTCAGAATGGATAGGTTTGTTCTCCTTGCAGTCCAAGGGATTCTCAAGAGCCTCCTCCAGCGCCACAATTCGAAAGCATAAATTCTTCGGCAGTCAACCTTCTTTATGGTCCAGCTCTCACTTCCATACATGCTACTGGAAAAACTATAGCTTTGACTATGCGGACTTTTGTCGGCAAGATGATGTCTCTGCTTTTTAAGATGCTGTCTAAGTTTGTCATTGCCTTCCTCCCAAGAATCAGGCATCTTTTAATTTCATGGCTGCTATCTCCATCTGCAGTGATCATGGAGCCCCGGAAAGTAAAATCTGTCACCACTTCCATATTTTTCCCTTCTATTTGCAAGGAGCTGACTGGGCCAGTGGCCATGATTTTAGTTTTTCTGCCGTTGAGCTTCAGACCATTTTTTGCACTCTCCTCTTTCATGCTCCCATTTCTTTAAGGACTTGCCATAGTTTGCTGTGGTCCACAGAGTCAAAGGCTTTTGCGTAGTCAATGAAGCAGAAGTAGACGTTTTTCTGGAACTCTCTCGCTTGCTCCATAATCCAGTGCATGCTAGCAATTTGGTCTCTGGTTCCTCTGCCCCTTCGGAATCCAGCTTGTACTTCTGGGATTTCTCGGTCCACATACTGCTGAAGCCTACCTTTGAGGATTTTGAGCACAACCTTGCTAGCATGTGCAATGAGTACAGTTGTACGGTAGTTGGAGTATTCTTTGGCACTGCCCTTCTTTGGGATTGGGATGTAGACTGATCTTTTCCAATCCTCTGGCCACTGTTTGGTTTTCCAAACTTGCTGGCATATTGAATGTAGCACCTTAACAGCATCATCTTTTAAGATTTTAAATAGTTCAGCTGGAATGCCATCGCCTCCATTGCCCTTGTTGTTAGCCAAGCTTTCTAAGGCCCACTCTCCAGTATGTCTGGCTCAAGGTCAGCAACCACACTATCTGGGTTCTCCAGGACATCCAGATCTTTCTGGTATAATTCCTTTGTGTATTCTTGCCACCTCTTCTTGATGTGTTATGCGTCTGTTAGGTCTCTACCATTTTTGTCCTTTATTGTGTCAATCTTTGCATGAAATGTTCCTTTAATATCTCCAATTTTCTTGAACAGATCTCTGGTTTTTCCCTTTCTGTTATTTTCCTCTCTTTATTTGCACTATTTGTTTAAGAAGGCCCTCTTGTCCCTCCTTGTTATTCTTTGGAAGTCTGCTTTCCATTTTCTCTAACTTTCCCTGTCTCCCTTGCATTTTGTTTCCCTTCTCCTCTCTGTTATTTGTAAGGCCTCGTTGGACAGCTACTTTGCTTTCTTGTGTTTCCTTTTCTTTGGAATGGTTTTTATTGCTGCCTCCTGTACAATGTTACGAGCCTCTATCCAAAGTTCTTCAGGCACTCTGTCCACCAAATCGAGTTCCTTAAATCTGTTCTTTACTTCCACTGTGTACTCATAGGGGATT